CCCTCTCTCACCCCCCACATCATCCCCCTCCCTCTCTCACCCCCCACATCATCCCCCTCCCTCTCTCACCCCCACATCATCCCCTCCCTCTCTCACCCCCCACATCATCCCCCTCCCTCTCTCACCCCCCACATCATCCCCCTCCCTCTCTCACCCCCACATCATCCCCCTCCCTCTCTCACCCCCCACATCATCCCCCTCCCTCTCTCACCCCCCACATCATCCCCCTCCCTCTCTCACCCCCCACATCATCCCCCTCCCTCTCTCTCATCCCCCATGTCCCCTTCCCCTCCCCCCAGCCATGGGCGGGCGGCCCTCCGCAGCCCAGGCGCTGCGCCACGCGTTCTTCTCCCTGCGCGCGCCAGAGCCCTTCCGCGCGTCGCGCCTGGCAGCGGCCACACAGGCGGCCCTCTCAGGCACGGCGTATGCCACGCTGGGGCGCGGAGGAGGCGCCATGGCGCAGGCCAAGGCGCGCGCTGCCCAGGAGAAGGCCCGGGTGGCAGGGCGGGCGGAGGGGCGCAAGGGCAGGGCGGGGGAGGAGAAGGGGGAGAAGGGCAAGGCGCGGAAGGAGGTGGGGGAGAAAGGGGGGAGTGTGGGGGGAAGGAGAGGGGAGGGGATGGGCGTGGAAGGGCTGGTGATGGCGTGGGGGGGGAGAGGGAAGGGGGAGAGAGAGGATTCAGGGAGTGAGGGGAAGAGGGTCGGTGGGAAGAAGCAAGGGGTGAAGGGCGCGGAGAGGTCAGGGGAAGGGAGGGTGGAGGAGGGGGTGGTGTTTGCGCTGCAGCAGATGTGGGCGGCTAGCAATGGTGGAGGGGGGAGTGGCAGTGAGAGCAGGGGGAAGTGGCGCGAGGAGGGTGTTGGGTCGGATGGCAGTGGGAAGGGGGAGAGGCGGGCAAGGAAGGCAGGGAAGGGGGAGGAGGGGGTGAAGGGGGCAAGGCAAGGGGCGGTAGCAGGCAAGGGGGAGGCGCAGGGGCAGACGGGCGCACTGGGGGCATTGGGCGCGCTGGGCGCAGGGGGGGGCGGGCAAGGGGCGGAGGTGGTGCTAGAGGCGCTGAGGCGGGTGCTGGGGGAGGGGGTGGGGGCGGAGGGGGGAAAGGGGGAGCAGGGCGCAGTGGAGGGGCCAGCAGTGCGGTGGGGGGAGGGGGGCGTGCAGGGCATGGTGAGCGAGGGGCGGCGGGTAGTGAGGGAGGCGTTTACTGGCGCTGTGGTGGCGCATGCAGAGGCTTACAGTGGCGGGTCGGAGGGCAGGGCGGAGGGCAAGGGCTCTGGGTCGGGCAAGGACAAGGGCTCTGGCAAAGAGGACGGGTCGGGCAGGGAGAAGGGATCAGGGGTGGATGGGAGTGCGGGGAGCAGGGAGAGGGCAGCATCAGGTAAGAGCAAAGGGGGGTCAGGGAAGGGGGATGGAGGCGAGGGGGGTGGGGGCAAGGGCAGTGGCAGGGGGGTTGCAAAAGAGGCAGGTGGGAAGGCGAGGAGGAAGAAGGAGGAGGGCAAGGGGGCGCGGAAGAGAGAGCTGGTCGCCGCAGCCATGGGCAGCAATGGCAGCAGCGGTGGCAGTGGCAGCAGCGGTGGCAGCAGCAGTGGTGGCAGCACGGTGGAGTTACCATTCGACCTGCAGCGCTCCAAGGTGGCGGCGGCCTATGTGCTTGGCTCCGCTGCTGCCTCCCTCGCCCGCCTCTTCGTGCCCCTCCAACCCTCCCCGGCTGCCACCGCTGCCACCGCCCGCCCTGCACCACCGCCTGCTGCTGCTGCTGCCCCAGCAGCAGCAGTGCCAGCAGCAGTGCCAGTGGCAGTGCCAGCGGCGCTAGCAGTAGCGGCAGCGTCTAGCAAAAGAGCAGCAGCGGCCGCATCAAGTAAGAGAGCAGCAGGAGCAGCAGCAGATGTAGCAGTGCTGGCAGCTGCTGCAGCAGTGGCAGAAGGGGGTGCGGCGCAGCAGCAGCGGGGGCAGGTGGCGGGGCAAGGAGGCGAGCGGAAGAGTGCAGGCGATGCAAGGCAGGTGAAGGGGATGGGGGGAGGCGAGACGGGTGGGGCAGGGGGGGGAGGCGCACTGGCGCAGGCGCTGCTGCAGTGGGTGAGGGGAAGGGCAGGTGGGGGGAGTGATGCAGGTGGGGGGAGCAAAGGAGCAGCAGTGCAGGGCAATGGGGGGCGGGGCTACGTCAAGCCCAGAAGTGGTCGGGTAGGGGAGGGCGGTGAGAGGAGAGCAGGGAAGCGAGGGAATGCGGGGGAGAGTGGGGGTGGTGGGATCTCGGGCGTGCGAGTGAGGTGGGGGCTGCTGGGACTGGCAGCCAAGGGCGTGGAGCGAGGCATGGAGAGGGCCAGAGGGGCAGGCCGGGGGGGTGTGGGAGGCGTGGGCGTGAATGGCAGGCTGGCGGGGGTGAGACTCAAGCCCAGTGCCACTGCTGACGTGGCAGACCCCGTGACCGACAATGGCATCATCAGTGACATCACTCTCGATCCGCAGGCCATTGCTGACGTCAGCCTGCTGCTGGCGCTATGCAGTCAGGGTGATGAAGAGGAGAGGGAGAGCGGAGGGGAGAGTGGAAGCGAGGAGGGGAGTGAGAGGAACTCTGTAGGAGCAGGGAAGCAGAAGCTTTCCAGCAGCAGCAGCAGCAGCAGCAGTACGGTTAGGGCAGAGCAATCTGCCTCTGTCCCATCAGACGCCTCTCTAGTGCAAGCAGACCTCACCACCCCTGCAGCCTTGGACGTATCTGCGCCTGCACGCACCCTGTCCTCCGCCTCGTCCCCTCTGGACCCCGAGGCACACCCACTGGTGGCATCACTGCTGGCAGATGGCGGTGTGGGCGGTGGCGAGGGGGGAGTAGGTGTGCAGCAGGCGGAGGTGCGGGTGGGGGGCGATGGGAGTGTGCAAGTGAGTGCGAGCGTGGGGGGTATGGAGAGCACGGTGCTGCTGCGAGCGGACAGCACAGGGACGCTCGTCATGGCCGTGGGGGGTGCCACTGCGGGCCAGGCACCAGCAGCAGTGGCAGCAGCAGAGGGCGCAGAGGCGAGTGCAGTGGCAGCAGGTGGCGTGGAAGGATCCTCTCTGCCTGCTGCCTCGCCACAGCCCCTTGCCACTCCAGCCTCCACTGAGACTGCCCTTGGACAGTCGGTGCTGCCACTGTGGGGGTGGCTGGGAGGGCGAGAGCCAGCCAGAGAGGCGCTGGCAGAGGCAGCGGCTCAGCTCGCTGCAATCAGAAGCAAGCTGCCCTCCGCCTCCCCCCCTGCATCCCCCACCTCTCCTCCAGAACTCTCTCCCTCCACCTCTCTGGCCCCTGCTTCCCCGCCTGCACCACCCGCTTCGGCACCTACACTGGCGCCCACAGAGAATGCAGCATTTGTTGCTGGTGGTAGGGCGGAGGAGGAGGCGAGTGGGGAGGAAGAGAAGCAGAAGCAACTGTTATCTGCTGTTGATGTGCCGGCTGTGCCTGCTGTGGCTGAGCCATCAGTCACGGAAGAGAAACGGGAGGATTCAAGTCAAGGGATGGGAGTGGAAGGGGCGCAGCGAGAAACAGCAGAGGGAACGCTGGTGGTGAGACCGGGTGCAGGAGAGAGAGCTGGGTTTGAGAGCACGGCTTTTTTCAGTGTGGATGCCAGAGTGGGGGAGAAGCTGGCGCAACAAGGGAGCAGCAATAATAACAGCAACAGCAGCCGCGGTGGTGTGCTGCATGGGCTGCAGGAGCAGCTATCGGGCCTGTCTCCCTTCGCCAGTGCCATTCGGGCCCTCACAGGCGTGTCACTGTGGGGCGGCGGGCAGAGGGTGGCGGGCGGCATGACAGAGGCGCAGGTGAGGGAGCAGCTGGAGGAGCTGCGGCGGAAGAGAGAGGCGCGCAGAGCGGGGGCTGAGGGGCTCAACGCTGCTCTGGCGGGGCTCAACAGCCAGATGGTGGACCTGCAGACCACACTGCAGGAGAACAAGCAAGCCGTCACAGAGCAGAAGAAGATTCTCACTCGGGTAAGACTGGTTGCTGTGAAAGGCATGCTGTTTGTCAGCCTGTTGAAACGGGTGCTCACATTCCACTGTTTTTGTGATGGTTGCAGATGGAAGTGCTATTGCTGGAGGCTGAAGTTATGCAGGCGCAGTACTAGTCATTAGCAAAAGAAGGGCTTTAGGCCTTGTAAATTTGGTGCTAGAGCATGAGAACTAGACTGGTTTGTTGTGATGTGCACCAGCTGTCAATAAAAGTGTAATGTATGAAGTCTCTGATTAAATTCTTGGTGTAGTAGTTTTGCCTGACTGGAAACGGCTCCCATTGGCCCGGTCAGTTTGCCTGTCAGAACTCGTCATCCAAATTCGCCAGCCGCCTCGACTGCACTGGCGCCATCCCGCTTCGCGTGGGTCCCAGGGCATCGCGCTTCGCCCGAAAGTTGAAACGGCAGGCCCTCCATCCGCCGTTGAGGGGGACAAGTCTAAGTTGACGGCCAGCGGTGCTGAGATGTCGGCCCGCCATCACCTCGCCGCCGATTGCTCGCTGCTCTATGCTCGACCAACACCATCCACGCCAAACATAACTGCCTCCACAGCAGGCCGTCAATCCCCATCCGTCATTACACCTGTTCCCCCTGTGATTGAGTTCCTTGAGATTTCCTCGCCTTTTCTCTCGCAGCAGATATATTTCTTGCTTTCTCCTGTTAGCTCTTGCTCAACGCTAGCAATTCGTGCCTTCGGGACTGACATCGACAATATGGCTATCTTGGCAGTTCAACCGTCTACTCCGCACTGTCTTGTTGACAAAAAAAGCTCCTACGTAGTTTCGCATGCTATCAGTCCCGTCGAGGATTGCGATATTCTCTCGCCCATAATTGACAGGTAAGCTCGTTTTTCATATCCTAATCAAGCTCTCCCCATGCTGGAGAATTCGTCTGAGACGGTATTTTTTCCCTGGTTGCAGTATATCTTGCATCCACGAGAACAAGGAGAATTTGGAGCTCGGCAGTTTCGAGGAGCGGCTGGTGGACGCCTTTTGCCGCGGAACCCTCGACGCCGAGGTGCCGCAAGCCATCGACGACATCATCGCCCTCGCACAGCGCCTCAGCCTCTCGCACGGCGACACTCACGCTCGCGATACGAGCGTTGCGAGCGACGCTGACTCGCCAGTCTCTGTCGTTCGACGATCGCCCCTGAACGACATCTCGTCGATCCACAGTGACGACGACGACCAGGTAAGCCTCGGAAACCGCTCGTTGCGAGGGAAAGACGCCGTATTGACACGTGAATAACTAATCAGACGATCTCCTCTTTCGTCACTTGCAGGTTCAGCCAGCCTGCAAGACGAGCTCTGACAAAGGTCAACACAAAAAGAAGCAAGTTTTGAGAGCATCGTCCTCGACCGTGGCTACCCCTCTCGACACGCAGAGGCGGCGAGGCAGCTCAGCCCCGTCGCGCGCTGCTGAGCGAGCCTCCCACGCGACCGATCGACGCGCAAGAAGCTGCGCTGCTCCGGCCTCTGCATTCCGCTGACCGCAACTCGCGCGCAGACTCCAGTGGTTCCCCGCGCTGCATGGCAGCAACTGGCAGTTCCTCTCCCCGGAACTGAGCACATCAAGTATTGAACGTCCAGTAGAACGTAGCAGCTTCAGCACAAACAGGCAGCTAACTTGTTTTTTACCTGAGAGTTGTATAGACATCCTGACTGACACTCGTCCTGATAGAAGTGAAAGCGGATATCCTTCAAGCAAGCATATTTACAGATTAATTTCCACAAGAGTCCGCCCAATATGCTCATCAATGGCATTTCAACGCCGGAGCGTAGCGTCAAGGATGCATGTGCTGCAACCGTTGGAGTGTGAGAAGCCGCCCCTGAGGGAGGAAGGGATGGGCGGCCACAGGCATGGTGCCTCGGCCCAGATATGCCATTATCATGTCAGCTGTGCCTGGAGCCTGCACAACGCACAGGGTTATTCCATATGTTGAGCAGGGAGGTGAAGTGGGGGTCAAAACACCTGGGCCGTGAGTAAGCAAGCAAAGAGCACTGCCATGAAGAAATCACGGCCACATGGTGGTGTGGTGTGTCACGCCAGCACTCACCATCAACAGGCCTGACCCTTCATGGCCTAATGCGAAGAGAACACCTGGTAGCGAGTCCACAGGGCCAATCAGAGGCCTCCCATCCGGTGCTGCAGACAGACAGGCAGATGGGATAGTGAGTTGGCTGTGCACAGGAAAGTGATGGACTGCGATACGAGCCTGCAAGCAGTGAGCAGGACCCACCGTATGGACGCAGCCCCGTGCGAACAACATTCACCCGAGCAGCTATCGCCTCGTCCTCTGCTTGCTGCACCGCCTGCCCCTTGTGCTGCTCTCCCGTCACCCCCTCCCTGTGGCATGGCAGCAGCAGGTGTGCGAGGGAGGGCAGGAAGAGGGCGGTGCGGCGCAGAATGGCAGCGATGGTGGGCGCATGCGGCTCCACACTGAAACCCGCCAACTCCCTGCTGCTGCCTGGTGGGGGTAGTGTGCATGAAGGGCAGCAGCCAAGAATAGATGTATTTACTGTGAGGCACGATGCAGAGGGGAAGTGAGGTGTGTGCGAGGCAACAAGAGGGAGGGAGGGGAGTGAGGGACTTGGGGGAGAGGAGGCGCACCGATGAGCAGGTGGCCGAGGTGGTCGCACGTGGCAGTCATGGAGATGGCGGCAGGTGCGGCAGGAGACGAGGAGGACGGCTGCATGGTGGCAGCCGTGGTGGGCGCGGCATAGTTGGCGGTGTAGTCAAACTCCATGAGGGCATGGCGCAGCGAGAGCGCGGGGGGCACGTCCGTGAGCTGCAGCAGGAAGCCCTGCAGACATGGTGGGAGGTAGAGGCAGCGACAGGGACGAGATTGGGAGGGAGGAGGTTTAATAATTGCAGCACGTGCAGGTGTGTGTAAGGGCTGAGAGTGGTAAAGCTGGCAGAGCAGCTTCGTGCCTCCCATGCAGCTCCTTGTGTGTGACCAGAGCACTCATCACCTTGCGAGGCCGCACGTGAGGCACCACCGGATCCTGCTCCCTGCCGCCACCCCTGCTGCCTGCTGCGCTGCTGCCCGGGTTGCCCCAAGTACCCTCCTTGGGACTATCCTCAGGCTGAGAGGCTTGCTCGGCGGTGGCGGAGGGAAGGGTGCTGTGGAGCAGGGCGTGGGCGATGAAGCCAGACGACCACGTGCCCGTGGCCACCACCACTGCCTGCGCTGCCACCACCCTCCGCTGAACCGTCTCCACTCCCACCACCCTGCTGGCTCCTGCCGCCCTGCACGCTCCCATGAGGGGATGATTGCACCCAAGCACATGCATTCGCATACGTACGCATGCATAAAAAGAACTCTTAGTATACAGACAGCGCACAGAGGTGGGCAGTGAGCAGCAAGGGGTGAGGGTGGTGGGTTGGGCGCTGACCGGAGGAAGGAGGTGGCGCTCTCCTCAAACAGCTCCACGTAGCGCCGTGATGCGGTATGGTGGCGACAGCGCTGGGCATGGCAGGCATGCAGAACACAGCATCGGAGGAAAGGGCGCGGATGGATGGGAAACTGGGGAATCAGCATGGCAGTGCTGAGGGGGGAAGAAACGGCATTGAAGTGCTGCGGTGGATGGTATTCTGAGTGGCTGCAGGTGTGTGCGTGCCATGGCTTGCCACGAAATAACACCATGGAATGCCACACACTGCAGCACGTACAGCGAGCAGGGCGTGCATGGCAAGGCGAGCATCGAGCTGCCAGTCGGAGGGCAGCAGCAGTGCGGACGAGCACCCAGCAGGCACCTGCAGTGCCGGCTCCACATCCCTCAGAGCAGCAGCGGACAGCAGGTGCGCGGACAGCCCTGCCTGCTGCAGTGCTCGGTGGTGGTGCTCCAGTGGGGCTGTGTGGGACGGCTGTGATGGCACCAACATGCTGCCTGGCGGGGCATGGGACGAGACAGGTAGACGCAGAGAGGCAGGGAGATGGCAAGAGGCAGGGGAAAGGGGAATATAAAGGGGGGGTGCTGGGGAGAGGGAAGAAGATAGTGAGGGGAAAGGTTGGAAGCAGGGTGGCGTGGTGGATATTGCCATCCCGCCTCACCTAACGTGCTCCTCTCGTCTCCCATGTGCCCAACCCATGGTTTGCTCCCTCTCAGCCCTTGCCTGTGTGCACGCGTCCCAGCCCCTGGGAGCAGCCTGTGAGGCGGCGGTGGTCTGCCTCCAGCCCGCCCGCCATCTCCTCCCACCGCCGCTTGCTGTGCTCCGCTAGCTGCCATGTCACGCCGCCCGGCGAGCGATGCGCCATCCATATGTAGCCCTGCCCTGCCAGCATGCCAGCACGCAACCATGGTAACATGCCATCACACCAGAAAGACAATGCAGCATCAAGTCAAGGTCTCAACTTGTTGTTTCGCACACCATGCAAGGGCAGCATGTCGCATGCTGTGCCACCGTTTCAGCGATATTTTGCAAACCCACTTCCTCACTCCTCACCCGCACTGCCTCTCGCCTTCTCAATCCTCACTTCCTCCTGACTCGCAACGCTTCATCACTACCTGCTGTGCTGTGCTGCCCTCTCACCTGCGCCTCTCACTTGCGCCTCTCACATGCACCCCTCACCTGCGCCGCTCACCTGCGCCTGTAGCCCCGGCACAGGGCCAGGCACTATCAATCACCGCAACTCTGGTGTCGGGTGATGACATCAGCAGCGCGTCAGCGATACAGAGCCCCACCACGCCAGCGCCCACAACGACCACGTCAGCCTCCACATCCCCCGCCGCTGCTTCCGCGTTCACCCGTCCCCACTCCTCCTCCCCGCCCCGCGCCCCTCCCCCCGGCACCGCGTTCTCCCACGGAAACGACGCCAGCCCAGCCGCTTCCGCCGCAGACTGGCACGCCGTGGGTCGGCGGACGGAGCGAGGCGGGGCGGCCGGCGATGTGGCTGGGGGGAGCGCTGTGCGGAGGGCGGCAGGCGCTGTGGTGCGCGCAGCGGTCAGGCGTAGTAGAGGAGGAAGCGGCGAGCGCGGAGGGAGCGGTGGGGAATGCTCGGGCGACGAGCGGCGGAAGGGAAGAGGGGGCCGCGAGACGCGCAGCGGTAGCGCCATGGTGGCGCGGGAGGAAAAGTGTGCGGGGCGGTCCTAGGGTGGCGCGACAGCGAGATGGTGCACTGGTGGGGTTGGAATGTGACTGATGGGGGAATTTGGGCCTGATCCACATTTGGTATAATATCCTCTTTATAGGGTAATTTTGGAACCTAGAAAATTTCGGCATCTAGCTACACTACCAAAACACCAGACAGATGGCTCTGTTCTGTAGGCATTTGCCCGAGGGGGGAGGAGGGGGGGCAAAAGCAAATGACCAGGGTTCCTACGCAGTTTCCCAACCGAGATCGCCTCCACCCCGCTACAACCGAAAGCGCGAAACTTCGGGAGAGAGGGCGGAAACTGCAGAAGGTAAATGGCGAATTTACACGCTCAACTTCGCGCCCCATTGGCAGGAGTACATCGAATCGCCCAAACCTCAAAAGCGGGGTAAACATGTGCATAAGGGGGTTCAGCGCTGTAAAAAAAAAGGTAACAAACTCAACTCCCAACTTTCTCACGGGAGGGAATTGTGCTGTGAGGGAACCTAGGGTTTTCAGTGCAAGGTGGTTGAGAGCGAGCTTTTTTTGTCGATGGGGTTGTGCTTTTCTGTGTGGATTACGAGCAGCCTGAGGGAATGACCGTAGAGGGTAGAGGGGGGGTATCCCCACCCCCCGTACCTCCCTCCCTTGTCTCTCGCCCCGCCCTGAAAAAGCGGGTTTCGAAGGGCGGGGCGAGTGGCGTGAATTTTGCCAGAGAAGGAAGGTGGGGAGGCGAAATCGGTAGTTTCGTAAGGGCCAAAAACCCACGGGGGTAAATGGCTGTTCTGTAGCCATTTCCCCTGAACAGGTTCGGAGGGGAAATGGCTGGCTCGGCACCGTCTGCAAAACGGTTAGCCGTTCCGGACCAAAAAACGAAGGAGGGGGAAGCTACCTATTTCCCCTCGCCCCCCCGCCGCCAGGGCCTACAGAACAGAGCCACTCTTTTTGCGAAATGGAGGACACACGGCAATCCGCGATCCGCCGCCGTCACTGGGCTCTCGTCCGCCTTCAGCTCGATGCCGATTGGCTGGCGGAAGAACGGCGGAACGACCTCCCGCGCGGCGTCCGCCAGGCGGTGCGCGAACTGCACGAGGTGTTCGGGGACCGGGGCGGGTGGCGCAGGCATGGCGGAAGCAGAAGGGACGGCCAGGGATTGGCGCGCTGTGCGCGTGCTGAAAGAAGGGCGTGCGTGTAATCTGAGCGGCGAATGGCAGAATGCGGGGCGCGAGGAGAGCGTGGGGGCGAGTGCAGGCGATGAATGGAAAGTGGCGGGCGGGGTGACGCTTTGACGCCTGGGTGGCGCGGGACGAGCGAGGGGGTGCGGGCCAAGGGAAGCCATGGGGGTGATGGCGAAATGCGAATATTCGAGCTTCGAGATTCGTGCTATTTGCCTTGAGGGCGATGGCGAGTGGGGGGGCGAGTGCGAGTGGGTGTGGGTGATCGATCCGATCGACGGCACGGCGAGCTTCATCACGGGCAAGCCGCTCTTCGGCACGCTCGTCGCGCTGCTGCACCGCGGCCGCCCCGTGCTGGGCGTGCTGGAGCAGCCCGTGCTGCGCGAGCGATGGGTCGGCGTCGCGGGCCGCCCCACCACCTTCAACGGCGTCCCGGTCGCCACGCGCCGCTGCGCCGACCTGCGCGACGCGTACGTGTACACCACGTCGCCGGACCTCTTCCCCGGCGCCAGCGGCGAGGCGTTCCGCGCGGTGAAGAGCGGTGCGCGCAAGGCGAACTACGGGTGCGACTGCTACGCGTTCGGGCTGCTGGCGAGCGGGTTCGTGGACGTGGCTCTGGAGTTCGGCGTGAAGCCGTGGGACTACCTCGCTCTCGTCCCCATTGTGGCGGGCGCGGGCGGGCGCATGAGCGACTGGCGCGGGCGCGAGCTGCGGCTGGCGTCGCTGCGCGCGGAGGACTGGGTGGGCGACGTGGTGGCGACGGGCGACGCGCAGCTGCATGCGACGGTGCTGGCGACGCTGGCTTGGGAGCAGCGCGGCAAGGGCGAGTGACTGGCGCGCAGTGCTGGGAGCGGACGAGGGAAAGGGCGAGGAGGCTGCGAAGGAAGGGGGAAGGCGGGGATGAGGAGAGGGCGAAGGGGTGGGAGTGAGGGGTGACGACAAGACACATTGTGAGGGGTGACGCATTGTGTGAGGGGGCGGGAAAAGCAGAGCAGCTGTGAGAGGCAGATGGTGAGGTCCACGAAAGAGCACAAACAATGGGCTGTCTGGCGTTGCTTGCTTCATGGGTGCTGGCCCCCTCATGCCTTCACACACACTGAACCTCCACACCCTGCTGCTCCACCGCCTAATAGAGGCAGCAAGCCAAGGGAGCAGCAGTCATGGCAGCATGGCCAGATTGCATGTCACTGTGATGTGATCCACATTCATCCTACTGTACTCTGCTCGAATAAAAGCGTTGCCTGCTTCACCGTTTGGCCGTGTATGCAGACGCCACCACAATCATATGATAGTGTAGCGCTTCTGCTGTGTAAGCTGCACGTGGTTAGGCATGCCTTGGTATGCCAGTCCTGGAAGTGTTCCTGCACCAGTGCCACCTCACTTGCCCTGTGCTGCCACTGACTGCCGTGCTGCTGCCGCTGGCCGCCTGCATGGGATGGCCTCTTCATGGGGCGGGGCCCATGCTATTCTTCTATTCTGATTTGTGCTCCATCATCCCAGTCTGTAGCCAAGTAAGGACCTTACAGTAAGCTGATCATTTTCTATCATGCTGTGCAATTCGAGTTTGCGTTTTGCTATATCAACTGAAGTGATAAGATGATCAGATGTATGATAGATTCTTTTCAGCTGTCCATACATTCGCTAAATGTACCCTGTTTCACCATGTTTCCAAACAAATGGTATTACCTACAAGAAAAATCTTGTGATTCCCGAGGCGGGGCGCTGATATCGGAGCACAGTACCTAGAACCTCTCGCAGATCGTCTCCCCAGCCCCTTTCAAAACTGTCCCGCAACGGCCTCCGCCATGCAGCCCCGCGCTCTCCTCCCCCATTCCCTGCACCCTTCCGCCTTTTCCCCGCTCACCCATCCCCTGCTCACCCGCGTTTCCGCCACCCCCCGCCGCGTCTCGCCTCGCGCGCAGCAATCAGGCGCTTCCGACACTCCGCGCGCCGATGCGCCCGCGCCTACTGAAGCCACGATGGCGGACGGCGCGGAGTTTGTGCGCCCGCATCTGCGCCGGCTGAAGCCCTACACCCCCATCGTGCCGTTCGAGGTGCGCCCATCCGCCCTTCCAGGTGCGCCCATCCGCCCTTCCAGGTGCGCCCATCCGCTCTTCCAGGTGCGCCCATCCGCCCTTCCAGGTGCGCCGCGCCGCCACGCCGCGGCTCTGGTCATGGCGTGCCGTCACCAGAAAATCCCCTCGTGTTCGAAAAGGCGTGGCGTGGCGTGGCATCGCCACGGATCAATCCCATCTTCCGCCTGCGCCCTGCATTGCATTGCATTGCCCGCCGTGCTTACCCCTCTCCACACCCTCAATCCCATCGCGCCTCTCCTCCCCCCACAGTCTCCGCATCGCTCATCCTCTCCCTCCCTTCCCTTTCCCCGCCCCTCTCACTGCGCTGCTGCGCCTGGGCGGGCGGGGGAGTGCGCGCGCTTGGATGGGCGGGGGGGGTGGCGGAGCAGGTGCTGTCGGCGCAGCTGGGGCGCGCGCCAGAGGACATCGTGAAGCTGGACGCCAACGAGAACCCTTACGGCCCGCCACCTGAGGTAAGGGCTGCCGCCTGATGGGGGGGGGAGTGCATGGGGGAGGGGGGAATGCAGGGGCAGGGGGGAGTGCTGGGGGCAAGGGGGAGTGCTGGGGGCAGGGGAAATGCATGGTGCGGTAGCAGTGAGGGTGGTGAAGGGGGTATGTTCGAGGGCAGGCAGGGTGCATGTGCATGGGTTCTCTTCGACCACCCATGCCTGCCATGCCTGCCCTTCCTGCTTGCGGTAAGGCAATTCCCCCATTTGGTATAAACGTACGCATGTGTGTGTGTGTGTGTGTGTGTGTGTGCGCGCGCGCGCGCGCGCGCGCGTGCGTGTGTGCGTGCGTGCATCTGTGCATGGCTGCATGCGTGCATGCGTGCATGTGTGCGTGTGTGCGTGCGTGCGTGCGTGCGTGTGTGCATGGGTGCATGGGTGCACGGGAGAGCAGGTGAGGGAGGCGTTGGGATCACTATCATTCCCGCACGTGTATCCGGACCCGGAGAGTCGCCAGCTGAGGTCGCTGCTGGCGCAGGAGTGTGGCGTGCCCATGGAGCACCTGCTCGTGGGCTGCGGGGCAGACGAGCTCATCGACCTCATCATGCGGTAACCCTCACCCCCTCTCCCCTCGCCCCTGTATTTCCCCTTCCCCCTCGCCCCTTCTCCCCCCCGCCCCTTCTCCCCCACGCCCCTGCCCTTGTCCCCCCTTCCCTCCCTCCCCCTTCCCACGAGTGCATTGTTTGTGACTGGTCACGCATTTCGGGCTGAAACCGTGTACCATTTGCACCCCTGTGCCGCCTTCCTCTTTCCTTCCGCGTGTTGTGTTGGTGTGTGCTCGCATGTGTGTGACTGGATGAGTGGGAGCAGGTGTGTGTTGGAGCCGGGGGAGGCGATAGTGGACTGCCCGCCCACCTTCACCATGTATGCCTTTGACGCCCATGTCAACAACGCACACGTCATCACGGGTAAGCCTCTCCCGCACCACCTCAGGTGGGCACGGCAGGGGGCCACCGCAGGTCATTCCATGAATGCCTTGCCGCGCATCTACTTTTGTTTCCTCCTCTCGCTGCTCCTCCCCTTGCATCCACTCGTCTGCTCCATCTCTCCCCCCCCCCCCACCCACCCTGTGTCCCCAACGCCCCTCTCCCCTCAAGTGCCGCGGCGCAGTGACTTCTCAATAGACGTGGCGGGCGTGGTGGCGGCGGTGGAGGCGCATCGCCCCAAGCTGCTCTTCCTCACCTCGCCCAACAACCCCGACGGCAGGTGCGAGCCCAACAACCCCGACGGCAGGTGCGAGCCCAACAACCCCGACGGCAGGTGCGTGCTCTCTCGGTACACAGATGGGCTTTCGTCCCCATACTGTCCCCTCTTTCTCCCTTCCCCTCTTCCCCCCCAACACACGCTCGCACAGACAGACACGCGTGCTAACTTTCCCCTCTATCTCTTTTCTCCCTCCTCCCTCACCTCCCTTCCTCCGTCTTCCCCCCCCCCCCCCCCCCCCCCCCCACGCACACAGCATGTTGAGCGAGGAGGACCTGCAGCAGCTGCTGCGGCTGCCCGTGTTGGTGGTGTTGGACGAGGCGTACATCGAGTTCAGCGATCGCCCCTCCGCCATGCCGCTCGTGCAGCGCCACGCCAACCTCATTGTGCTGCGCACCTTCAGCAAGCGCGCTGGTCAGCACCCCCACCCCCTCCACGTCCTCCCTTAGCTTCCATGCCTGCCTCTCATCTACCCCTCATTGTGCCTTTCAAACTCCACTTGCTCGCCTCATGCCGTTCTCCTCTGCCCCTTTGTGCTCTCCTGCCGTGCGTGGGGGCGAGCAGGGTTGGCGGGGCTGAGGGTGGGGTACGGGGCGTTCCCCTTGCCGCTGGTGGAGTACCTGTGGCGCGCCAAGCAGCCCTACAACGTGTCCGTCGCTGCCGAGGTCGCCGCCTGTGCTGCACTCTCCAACCAGCCCTACCTGCAGGCATGTCATGTCTCCGCTAACCAGCAATACCTAGGGTCTGTGTTGCCAATAAGAGTGGGTGTAACTGGGTTATAAGCGGTGCACTGCACCCACACTGGCTCGCGTCTGTGCTCATGTGTTCATGTTGTCGTATTGATGTTGTCGCTGTTGTTGCCATGTTCCCATGTGTGCATGCTGTCATGTGTGGGCGGGGGGTGCGAGCAGGAGGTGAGGGATGCGCTGGTGAGGGAGAGGGCGCGTCTCATGGGCCACCTCACAGCGCTGCCGTTCCTCAAGCCCTTCCCCAGCCACGCCAACTTCATTCTCTGCGCCCTGCACAACACCCACTGGACTGCCAAGCAGCTCAAGGTAAGTTCCCGCTATGCCTGCACATGTCATATACCATATGTTGAAGTGATGCTGGGACAGCGTGTATGTTACCGGTACGCAGCAGTCACTGACGGCGTGTGCGATGGTGTGTGTGGTGGTGTGTGTGGTTGGGGCGGGAACCGTGGCATGTGGGCAGGATGAGCTGGCAGGGCGGGGCATCATGGTGCGGCACTACAGCCAGCCCGACCTCTGCAACTACATTCGCATCAGCGTCGGCAAGCCCGAGCACACAGATGCACTCATTCTAGCACTCTCACAGTTGACTTAGCATAGGTAAGGGAATTTGTCTGAAAACACCTGGATGGAGGTACCGTAGAACCAGCATAGCAATGTGTGAGGGACATGCAAGGTGCAGGCAATGAAGATCCAGTTTTGCCGAGTCCTAAAGGAATGTGATACTACCACAACACACACCATATGCAAAAATTAGCTTGTACGCAAAGTAAAACACGCTCCTAAAAGAGAAGCACTAATCACAACCTATTCCCAGCAAGTGTTGAGGTACAAACCATACATCGATCCAACTTCAGTGGCCTGTAAGCGCATTTCACTGTCAAAGAGATGGCTGCAAAGTGCAACGTCCAATTCAGACTGCATCTTCAGATTGGTCAGGTCCTTTGGCAGTGCTTGAAGGTGCGCACAACCAGCCAGATCTACGGTAGTACTGCAAGACTACACAGTAATGCATTTGAATAGATTACTATACACCTTCACTGTTGTTGGCAGCTTTGCTGCCACCAGAGCACCACACATGCAGCACCATGAAAGTTAGGGCGTGTTACACTTGTTTTTTACCGTCCGGACTGTTTTAGCATTGTTATTCACCTCCATGACCGTTCATAAAGTGCTGCCCACTCCTTACATACAGTAACAGCTCTTTGTTGACCAATGCCTATAAAATATCAGTGGGCAGCAGGGCAGCAAGGCGCCCAGCAACGCTACAGCGGAGGGAGGGGTAAGGGACGGTGTCAAGCAGGTGTTGGTTGGCGTGAGCAGACGGAGAAGAGGCGCCATGTGATGATTGCCGCCACAATGCATGCCGCCAGGTGCGCACCTGCCACCTTGTACGGCTGCCAACCCAATCCGTGCTCCAGAAAGCTGCGAGGGAAGCCACACACAGGGAGGCATGGAGGATGGTGGGGTGTGTGTGTGGCTGCATTTGCAGTGCATGTGCAGCGTGTGCAAAATTGCAAGAACAAGGGCCTAGCGTGTGCAAAATAGCAAGAACAAGGGCCTAGCGTGTGCAAAATTGCAAGAAAAAGGGCCTAGCGTGTGCAAAATAGCAAGAACAAGGGCCTAGCGTGTGCAAAATTGCAAGAACAAGGGCCTAGCGTGTGCAAAATGGCAAGAACAAGGGCCTAGCGTGTGCAAAATGGCAAGAACAAGGGCCTAGCGAGTGCAAAAATTCAAGAGCAAGGGCCTAGCGTCTGCAAAATTGCAAGAACAAGGGCCTAGCATGTGCAAAATTGCAAGAACAAGGGCATAGCGTGTGCAAAATTGCAAGAACAAGGGCCTAGCGTGTGCAAAATTGCAAGAACAAGGGCCTAGCGTGTGCAAAATTACACTCTCTATGAGTCGACACTATGTTGGTCGACACTCTCTATGAGCCGACACTCCCTATGACTCGACACTTTGTTAGTCGACACTCTCTATGAGTCGACACTTTGTTAGTCGACACTCCCTATGACTCGACACTTTGTTAGTCGACACTCTCTATGAGTCGACACTTTGTTAGTCGACACTCTCTATGAGTCGACACTCTCTATGAGTCGACACTATGTTGGTCGACACTCTCTATGAGTCGACACTCCCTATGACTCGACACTTTGTTAGTCGACACTCTCTATGAGTCGACACTTTGTTGGTCGACACTTTCTATGAGTCGACACTCTTTATGAGTCGACACTTTGTTAGTCGACACTCTCTATGAGTCGACACTCTCTATGAGTCGACACTCTCATAAGTCGACACTCTCTATGAGTCGACACTTTGTTGGTCGACACTCTCTAAAAGTTGACACTCTTTATGAGATGACTCTTCGCTAGTCGACACTTTCTATGAGTCGACACTCTCTATGAGTCGACACTTTGTTAGTTGACGCTCTCTATGAGTCTACACTCCCTATGAGTCGACACTATGTTGGTCGACACTCTCTATGAGTCGACACTCCCTATGACTCGACACTTTGTTAGTCGACACTCTCTATGAGGCGACACTCTCTATGAGTCGACACTTTGTTAGTCGACACTCTCTATGAGTCGAAAATTTGTTGGTCGACACTTTCTATGAGTCGACACTCTTTATGAGTCGATTCTTCGCTAGTCGACACTTTCTATGAGTCGACACTTTGTTAGTTGACACTCTCTATGATTCGACACTTTGTTAGTCGACACTCTCTATGAGTCGACACTCTCTATGAGTCGACACTTTGTTGGTCGACACTCTCTAAAAGTTGACACTCTTTATAAGACGACTCTTCGCTAGTCAACACTTTCTATGAGTCGACACTCTCTATGAGTCGACACTTTTTATGAGTCGACACTTTGTTGGCCGAAACTCGTTAGTGTCGACTCATAGAGAGTGTTGACTCATATAGAGTGTCGACTAACAAAGTATCGACTCATAGAGAGTGTCGACTCATAGAGAATGTAGACTAATAAAGATTTGACTCATAGAGATTGTCGACTCATAGATAATGCCGAAACTCCCTATGACTCGACACTTTGTTAGTCGACACTCTCTATGAGTCGAAAATTTGTTGGTCGACACTTTCTATGAGTCGACACTCTTTATGAGTCGATTCTTCGCTAGTCGACACTTTCTATGAGTCGACACTTTGTTAGTTGACACTCTCTATGATTCGACACTTTGTTAGTCGACACTTTCTATGAGTCGACACTCTCTATGAGTCGACACTTTGTTAGTTGACACTCTCTGAGTCTACACTCTCTATGAGTCGACACTATGTTGGTCGACACTCTCTATGAGTCGACACTATGTTGGTCACCCTACAACGTGTCCGTCGCTGCCGAGGTCGCCGCCTGTGCTGCACTCTCCAACCAGCCCTACCTGCAGGCATGTCATGTCTCCGCTAACCAGCAATACCTAGGGTCTGTGTTGCCAATAAGAGTGGGTGTAACTGGGTTATAAGTGGTGCACTGCACCCACACTGGCTCGCGTCTGTGCTCATGTGTTCATGTTGTCGTATTGATGTTGTCGCTGTTGTTGCCATGTTCCCATGTGTGCATGCTGTCATGTGTGGGCGGGGGGTGCGAGCAGGAGGTGAGGGATGCGCTGGTGAGGGAGAGGGCGCGTCTCATGGGCCACCTCACAGCGCTGCCGTTCCTCAAGCCCTTCCCCAGCCACGCCAACTTCATTCTCTGCGCCCTGCACAACACCCACTGGACTGCCAAGCAGCTCAAGGTAAGTTCCCGCTATGCCTGCACATGTCATATACCATATGTTGAAGTGATGCTGGGACAGCGTGTATGTTACCGGTACGCAGCAGTCACTGGGCGTGTGCGGTGGTGTGTGTGGTGGTGTGTGTGGTTGGGGCGGGAACCGTGGCATGTGGGCAGGATGAGCTGGCAGGGCGGGGCATCATGGTGCGGCACTACAGCCAGCCCGACACTTTGTTAGTTGACACTCTCTATGAGTCTACACTCTTTATGAGTCGACACATTGTTAGTCGACACTCCCTATGACTCGACACTTTGTTAGTCGACACAGTCTATGAGTCGACACTTTGTTAGTCGACACTCTCTATGAGTCGACACTCTCTATGAGTCGACACTATGTTGGTCGACACTCTCTATGAGCCGACACTCCCTATGACTCGACACTTTGTTAGTCGACACTCTTTGAGTCGAAACTTTGTTGGTTGACACTTTCTATGAGTCGAGACTCTTTATGAGTCGACACTTTGTTAGTCGACACTCTCTATGAGTCGACACTCTCTATGAGTCGACACTTTGTTGGTCGACACTCTCTAAAAGTTGACACTCTTTATGAGACGACTCTTCGCTAGTCGACACTTTCTATGAGTGATACTCTCTATGAGTCGACACTTAATAAGTTGACACTCTCTATAAGTTGACACTCTCTATGAGTCTACACTCTCTATGAGTCGACACTATGTTGGTCGACACTCTCTATGAGCCGACACTCCCTATGACTCGACACTATCTTGGTCGACACTCTTTATGAGTCGACACATTGTTAGTCGACACTCCCTATGACTCGACACTTTGTTAGTCAACAGACTCTATGAGTCGACACTTTGTTAGTCGACACTCTCTATGAGTCGACACTCTCTATGAGTCGACACTATGTTGGTCGACACTCTCTATGAGCCGACACTCCCTATGACTCGACACTTTGTTAGTCGACACTCTCTATGAGTCGACACTTTGTTGGTCGACACTCTCTATGAGTCGACACTCTTTATGAGTCGACACTTTGTTAGTCGACACTCTCTATGAGTCGACACTCTCTATGAGTCGACACTCTCTATGAGTCGACACTTTGTTGGTCGACACTCTCTAAAAGTTGACACTCTTTATGAGACGACTCTTCGCTAGTCGACACTTTCTATGAGTCGACACTCTCTATGAGTCGACACTTTGTTAGTTGACACTCTCTATGATTCGAAGTCTACACTCTCTATGAGTCGACACTATGTTGGTCGACACTCTCTATGAGTCGACACTCCCTATGACTCGACACTTTGTTAGTCGACACTCTCTATGAGTCGACACTTTGTTAGTCGACACTCCCTATGACTCGACACTTTGTTAGTCGACACTCTCTATGAGTCGACACTTTGTTAGTCGACACTCTCTATGAGTCGACACTCTCTATGAGTCGACACTATGTTGGTCGACACTCTCTATGAGTCGACACTCCCTATGACTCGACACTTTGTTAGTCGACACTCTCTATGAGTCGACACTTTGTTGGTCGACACTTTCTATGAGTCGACACTCTTTATGAGTCGACACTTTGTTAGTCGACACTCTCTATGAGTCGACACTCTCTATGAGTCGACACTCTCTATGAGTCGACACTCTCTATGAGTCGACACTTTGTTGGTCGACACTCTCTAAAAGTTGACACTCTTTATGAGATGACTCTTCGCTAGTCGACACTTTCTATGAGTCGACACTCTCTATGAGTCGACACTTTGTTAGTTGACGCTCTCTATGAGTCTACACTCCCTATGAGTCGACACTATGTTGGTCGACACTCTCTATGAGTCGACACTCCCTATGACTCGACACTTTGTTAGTCGACACTCTCTATCAGCCGAAACTCCCTATGACTCGACACTTTGTTAGTCGACACTCTCTATGAGTCGAAAATTTGTTGGTCGACACTTTCTATGAGTCGACACTCTTTATGAGTCGATTCTTCGCTAGTCGACACTTTCTATGAGTCGACACTTTGTTAGTTGACACTCTCTATGATTCGACACTTTGTTAGTCGACACTCTCTATGAGTCGACACTCTCTATGAGTCGACACTTTGTTGGTCGACACTCTCTAAAAGTTGACACTCTTTATAAGACGACTCTTCGCTAGTCAACACTTTCTATGAGTCGACACTCTCTATGAGTCGACACTTTTTATGAGTCGACACTTTGTTGGCCGAAACTCGTTAGTGTCGACTCATAGAGAGTGTTGACTCATAGAGAGTGTCGACTAACAAAGTGTCGACTCATAGAGAGTGTCGACTCATAGAGAATGTAGACTAATAAAGATTTGACTAATAGAGATTGTCGACTCATAGATAATGTCGACTAACACAGTGTTGACTCATAGAGAGTGTCGACTAACAAAGTGTCGACTCATAGAGAGTGTCGACTAACAAAGTGTCGACTCATAAAGAGTGTCGACTAACAAAGTGTCGACTCATTGAGAGTGTCGACTCATAGAGAGTGTCAACTAACAAAGTGTCGAATCATAGAGAGTGTCAACTAACAAAGTGTCGACTCATAGAAAGTGTCGACTAGCGAAGAATCGACTCATAAAGAGTGTCAACTCATAGAAAGTGTCGACCAACAAATTTTCGACTCATAGAGAGTGTCGATTAACAAAGTGTCGAGTCATAGGGAGTGTCGGCTCATAGAGAGTGTCGACCAACATAGTATCGACTCATAGAGAGTGTCGCCTCATAGAGAGTGTCGACTAACAAAGTGTCGACTCATTGAGAGTGTCGACTCATAGAGAGTGTCGACTAACAAAGTGTCGACTCATAAAAAGTGTCGACTCATAGAGAGTGTCGACGAACATAGTGTTGACTCATAGAGAGTGTCGACTCATGGAGAGTGTCGAACAACAATGTGTCGACTCATAGAGAGTGTCGAATCATAGAGAGTGTCGACCAACATAGTATCGACTCATAGAGAGTGTCGCCTCATAGAGAGTGTCGACTAACAAAGTGTCGACTCATTGAGAGTGTCGACTCATAGAGAGTGTCGACTAACAAAGTGTCGACTCATAAAAAGTGTCGACTCATAGAGAGTGTCGACGAACATAGTGTTGACTCATAGAGAGTGTCGACTCATGGAGAGTGTCGAACAACAATGTGTCGACTCATAGAGAGTGTCGAATCATAGAGAGTGTCGACCAACATAGTATCGACTCATAGAGAGTGTCGCCTCATAGAGAGTGTCGACTAACAAAGTGTCGACTCATTGAGAGTGTCGACTCATAGAGAGTGTCGACTAACAAAGTGTCGACTCATAAAAAGTGTCGACTCATAGAGAGTGTCGACGAACATAGTGTCGACTCATGGAGAGTGTCGAACAACAATGTGTCGACTCATAGAGAGTGTCGAATCATAGAGAGTGTCGACTAACAAAGTGTCGACTCATAGAGAGTGTCGACTAACAAAGTGTCGACTCATAAAGAGTGTCGACTATCAAAGTGTCGACTCATAGAAAGTGTCGACTCATAGAGAGTGTCGACTAACAAAGTGTCGAGTCATAGGGAGTAGGTGTTGACTCATAGAGTGTCGGCCAACAAAGTGTCGACTCATAGAGAGTGTCGACTCATAGAGAGTGTCGACTAACAAAGTGTCGACTCATAGAGAGTGTCGACTCATAGAGAGTGTCGACTAACAAAGTGTCGACTCATAAAGAGTGTCGACTCATAGAAAGTGTCGACTAACAAAGTGTCGACTCATAGAGAGTGTCGACGCATAGAGAGTGTCGACTAACAAAGTGTCGACTCATAGAGAGTGTCGACTAACAAAGTGTCGACTCATAGAGAGTGTCGACTCATAGAGAGTGTCGACTAACAAAGTGTCGACTCATTGAGAGTGTCGACTCATAGAGAGTGTCGACTAACATAGTGACTCATAAAAAGTGCGACTCATAGAGAGTGTCGACCAACATAGTGTCGACTCATAGAGAGTGTCGACTCATAGAGAGTGTCGACTAACAAAGTGTCGACTCGTATAGAGTGTCGACTCATAGAGAGTGTCGACTAACAAAGTGTCGACTCATAGAGAGTGTCGACTCATAGAGAGTGTCGACTAACAAAGTGTCGACTCATTGAGAGTGTCGACTCATAGAGAGTGTCGACTAATATAGTGACTCATAAAAAGTGCGACTCATAGAAAGTGTCGACCAACATAGTGTCGACTCATAGAGAGTGTCGACTCATAGAGAGTGTCGACTAACAAAGTGTCGACTCGTATAGAGTGTCGACTCATAAAGAGTGTCGACTAACAAATTGTCGACTCATAGAGAGTGTCGACTAACAAAGTGTCGACTCATAGAGAGTGTCGACTCATAGAGAGTGTCGACTAACAAAGTGTCGACTCATAGAGAGTGTCGACTAACAAAGTGTCGACTCATAGAGAGTTTTAACTAACAAAGTGTCGAGTCATAGAGAGTGTCGACCAACATAGTGTCGACTCATAGAGAGTGTCGCCTCATAGAGAGTGTCGACTAACAAAGTGTCGACTCATTGAGAGTGTCGACTCATAGAGAGTGTCGACTCATAGAGAGTGTCGACTAACAAAGTGTCGACTCGTATAGAGTGTCGACTAATAGAGAGTGTCGACTAACAAAGTGTCGACCTGTTGAGAGTGTCGACTCATAGAGAGTGTCGACTAACAAAGTGTCGACTCATAGAGAGTTTTGACTAACAAAGTGTCGAGTCATAGAGAGTGTCGACCAACATAGTGTCGACTCATAGAGAGTGTCGCCTCATAGAGAGTGTCGACTAACAAAGTGTCGACTCATTGAGAGTGTCGACTCATAGAGAGTGTCGACTAACAAAGTGTCGACTCATAAAAAGTGTCGACTCATAGAGAGTGTCGACTAACAAAGTGTCGAGTCATAGGGAGTGTCGACTCATAGAGAGTGTCGACCAACATAGTATCGACTCATAGTGAGTGAAGACTGTTGTGTGATGCAACCATATGCATTCACGTCTGTCTGCCTCCCATAATATGTTTCTGCATTGCATGCGTGGTGTGAGCGTGTGCAAGAATCTATGTTTTTGTACGGTTTGGATTTCCTGAGTGTGTGTGAATGTTATTTGAATTGGGCAGATATCTGAAGTGACTCATCTGCTCAAGAGCTTTCCGACGAGCCAAGAATCGTCGCGATCGGAGCAAGACCAAGAAAG